GCCAAACATTGCATTCAGTTGTCTGTCAGAGTCCCGAACTCGAATGCGGACCTTGACGAGGACTCAAGGATGGAATGTAATGAAATCACAGTCTCTCCACTGTGAAACTGATCCACCGAACCTCTCGTACCTCATGATTGCAAACGGACAAACCTCCCAAGGTCAAATCCAGTCGAATTAGAATGAAGTCCTCGCTATTTGGATAAAAACAGAGCCTCCGGGAAGCAGATGAAGACGTGAGAAAAGGGAAATATGAACAAACAGCGTTGAACCCTGCCTTCAAACCAGTAGTGTACTAGATGCAAGTAGCCTACCGAGCAGGAGATGATAGGCTCAGGTTCCCTTTGAATAGGATGAGTCGGGTTACACTGGACCTGCGTATGCAGTGATTAAAGGATCTTAATGCTCTATACTATTCTATCTTAAACCTAATGCCCTGAAAGAGATACACCTTCTCATGCTGCAAATAATCAGGGAAGCTACAGCATGACCAAATAAATAAAAAATAAATAAAAAATAAATAAAAAATAAAAAATAAATAAAATCCACGCTATCCTAATAAAGAAGAATCATATTTCATAAAATCATATTTATTTATTTATTTTTGCATAACATACAATTCAAACAATCCAAATAATTTGGGTCAGTAGTGGTGAAGGAGTTCCGGCATGGAAATCATCTGCGTTTAGTACGCTCCTTACTGTGCTCACTGAAACCTCAGTGCCTGTTGCCACCAAGTCTTGCTGCAGGTCTTTTGCAGTCACTTGAGGGTTTTTCACAACCTGACTTCTCAGAAATCTGCTTGCAGCCATTATTAGCTTCCTTTTTCTGCCCCGTCCAGGTATTTAATGTATTTTCTGATCCTAGCCAGTTCAGATATTTCATGTGTTCCAGCTCAAGCACACCTGGTGCAACTAACAATGCCCTTGATTAGCTTGAGACAACACAGGCTAATTTTATTATTATTTTTATTTATTTATTTATTTATTTATTTATTTATTTTTTGCATATTTGTGCTGTTGTGAGGGATTCTATTCAGAGGGGTGAATAGTTTTGAAACTGGAGAAATCATTATAAGTTTCATTTTCAGTTGCATTTAGAGAAACCGCTTGAAGCATTTGTTGTGTTGAAGTATTTCAATTGCTTTTGTTTGATTTGTTCATCACAAACAGCTGAAAGTCTGTAAATTTTGACAATAAACCTGATTTGCAATGGGGGGTTGAATAATTTTGAGTGCAACTGTAGAACTCATACATATAAATGCCACAGAATTAGGACCAGATGATAATTACAAGCCGAGTTCATAAGCTAAATAAACAGCTTGACTGGAAAAGTCATAATAACAACAATAATAATAACATGTGAAGAAAGATATTTTGAGGCGTACACATTAACATAAAAAAAAATAATAATAATAATTTAAGGTGTATTTACACACCATTGTTGGCAAAATTATAAAAATCTAATTGTGAGCAATATCTAATAATGTACAATTTATTGTAGAAAAAAGCAATACTAGTACCAGCATTTAACACAGGAAATGGAGCCAGTACTCAAGAAAGAATTTATATTTAGTTGTAAATCAATTTTGCATAAAATAATATTGAATGTAAATGCTATAACTTACGGTAATAACTTGCAATAACGGCAATCAGGGTACAGATCTACTCTGGTGGAGGAGCAGAGGGACATCTGTAGAGCTCCGATCAGAGACGTCCTGATTATCACATTAGTGTCTGAACGCTTAAGCATCTCTGCTCTATTATGAGGTCGTCTTCGTAGCAAGGTGTTATTGAATAATTAAGTGTGCGGGGTTCAGTGTCACGTCGTTTCTCAAAATCATGACGGGTCTGATGACCATGTATAGGATGCACGGTACTGTATGTAAACAACTTGGCCCCAAACACAGAGGGGGTGAAAACCAAACCTACAACAACCTACACTTACAGTGTAATTGAATGTGTGTGTTTTGTGCTGTGGACCAGCACTTTAATATATACATGTATGCACAGTCATGCCCAGACGTCTTGTAGTTATGTTATCCAATAGCAGATCTAGTACAAGATTTTACCCAATGTATTCAATACAACAAATCAATTTACCTGGAAATGATTAAAGGTCTGGTAAAATATGATTAATCCTGTTGACACAACATTATTTTTTCAAACTGTTGTCATTCCTTAAGGCTTGAGCAAATTTAATTCAGAGATGACGTTTGCAAGGTTTGTATGAAGATAAACTCACCTTCGCAAGTAGTATAAGCTGACATACACTCTGCCGTGATATTTCATGTATGAATGCTACAGTCATTTTGTCCACTGAGAGCGGTCGTGGGCAAAAAGCAAAACACTGAGCCACTGATTTTTGAAAGAAACCTCTGGAACAAGATGATGGAACACTGATCTTGGTTTTCGAGGACCAAAAAAAAAAAACAGTATAGACTGGAACCCAAACTAATGCATGAAAGTGGACATGCCTGTGGACAATCTACATGAGGTTTTCCAGGCTAACTCTCTAGGTTTGAGCATTTGGCAGAAAAGAAGGTGGAAAATGCCCTCTAGAACCAGGACAACATTTAATAATGTGCCTGAGATGGTGTTCTGAGGAAGGCCAAAGTCTCTGAATACAAAAGAGTTTTGATGTCTGTTTGTGGAAAGTTTGGACACCAGTAAGAAAAAACGAAGAGAATTGGCCAACTTCTACCAGAAACCCAAGGGTATATGAGATCAGATGTAGCCCTTAAGATGTAGCCAAGAATTATTACTCAGGACAGATCGAATCTGTTTGAACGCAGACAATACAGCAGACACAGCAGAGGTTCAGAGCTTGGTAAAAATGGTTCCCACATAGAGCAGATTCTATGCCGTGGCCAGTGGTGAAAGTCGGTACTGGTTCTGGACAGTTGATGGTCATCAATGCCAGGGTGCATATATAGTATGTAAAAATACTAGATAAGAGAAAGTTGGAGTACTCAATCTATGGCTGTAGTCTCAGGTGAAGAGAAAGACATGGTCACCTTGAGGAACACAGATACCATGGTTGCAGTCCATTACATGAGTGGACAGGTACTTAGCTTTATCACTTTCCATGGACAGCAGTGAAAGTTAGAACTGGCTTATGTCACTGACCTTGTTTGGTCCAAGGTAGTCCAGCACCTTCATCCTTCTTCTCGATTCAAAAGAAAGGGAACAAGTTTTATAAATGGAAGTTGGTATCATCTGGTATCATCTGGTATCATTTGGTATAGCCAGAGCCTTTTCATCCTGCAGCTCTTGCCTGGTGTCCCACAGAAGCTAAGTAGGGTTGAGCCTAGCCAGTGCCTGGATGGGAGACCTCCTAGGGAAAACTATGGTTGCTGCTGGAAGTGGTATTAGCATTATTAGTCGGTCCAAATGCACCAGTATAGTGACAGGGACAGTATCTTTCAGATGAGATGTTAAACCGATGTCCTGACTCTGTGGTTAAAAATCCCATGTCACTTCTCATAAAAGAGTATGGGTATAACCCCAGTGTCCTGGCGAAATTCCCCCATTGTCCCCTAGTAATATTCATCCTTGCATTGGCTGCATCACTCTCCTCACCTCTCCACCGATAGCTGGTGTGTGGTGGGCGTTCTGACCCACTAATGCTGCCTTCGCATTATCCAGGTGGATGCTACAAACTGGTGGTGGTTTGATGAGATTGTAAAGAGTTTTGAGTGTCTAGAAAAGCACTATATAAATATAAGGAATTATCTAAGTTCATGACGGTGGCCTTGTTCAGGATCTTATTCACCTTACCCATGGATTGCAGCCTGGAGATTACTTAGGTATCGTTTGAAGTACCATGAAATGGTTTTGGACCTCAATTCCACATGGACATTCTCACTGTGGTTGCTGGGACTACGGTTGCTGCAAACCATAACAAACTTTCTTTTACTTTCACACTATCCGTTGTTACCAAGATGAGGATGGGTTCCCTACTGAGTCTGGTTCCTCTCAAGGTTTCCTCATATCACCTTAGGGAGTTTTCCTCTCCACCATCACCACTGGCTCACTCAATATTCAAAATTCACACTCTTAAACTCTGTATCCTGTGTTTGTATGTTCCAAGAACAAGTAGATTAATGTGTTCATAGCATATTAAACGTTTCTGAGAAATTGTTTAACTAATGTTCCTCCTGATGTTTCTGCTTTTTTCACAAATAATTCACATGCATCTCAAGCATCTACTTTACTACGTTTTCTCACAGTTCTTGCTCAGCTGTATGCTTCACCCATAGCGTACCTGGAGCGCACAAACGAGTAGCTCCAAAGTCTCTGCCTGTGTAAACAAGAACCAAATCACAATATAAACGAGAGGTCATGATACAGCTAACTGCCGTCGTCCTGATGGATTGCTCTGGAGGAAAGAATGGCAATCTGGCACACGTTTGATGCTCTGAAACGTGATACAGAGGAGCTCGAATGACGCTTCTCTACAGCTCCGGAGGTGGAGGGATGATAGCCGATATCCAGCAGATAGACAGAGCACTAACTGTTCCGTCGGTTCTTATCATTACACATCATCTACTTTTAATGTGTATGGCTGTTATAGTGACAAGCCAGGAGTGATATTGGCTAGTTTTCCATTCCATTTGTATGGCATTGCTTCACATGACTTTCTTCAGGATTTACAACAACAGCATGTGTTCGTGTACGACGTAAACAAGAGACTGGACGATGATGCAGAATAATCAAGTACTTAATGGCACTGAGGCCAAATATACATGTATCTAAAAGTGCCAACTTGATTAGTGTAAGTATTTTATACTGGGACCAATAAGATTAACCTTATATCAGACTGCTAAATTTTATAATGATAATGAGTCTTTATTAATCACCTATACATTACAGCACAGAGAAATTCTTTTCTTAGCATACCTCAGCAAGTTGGGGTCAGAGCGCAGGGTCAGCCATGATGCAGCGCCCCTGGAGTAGAGAGGGTTAAGGGCCTTGATCAAGGGCCCAACAGTGGCAGCTTGGCAATGCTGGGGATTGAACCCCCGACCTTCTGATCAGTAAGCCAAAGCCTTAACCGCCACATCACCGCTGCCCGTAATTATGTCATCTTTGTTCATTTGTATAATTTACTCGCAATGGAGAGTTTTAAATCAATTTGTTAAATCAATTCTTTAATCAGTCATCATTAATCTTTCTTTAATCATATTCAGGGTCGAGTTACTCACTCAGAGATAATTTAATACAGAAATTGCACACATCAGTATTCAGACTGAAACATAACTATGGGCTTAAGTGCTATTCAGAAGTTGCACAAAAGGGGTGGAGTTTGAGTGAAAAAGAGGTCTGTCTCAGTTACACGCCGTTCTAAACTGTGTTAATTGTTGAGTTTTTAAAGTCGGTGGTCTAGAGAAACCCTGTCTCGTGTGCGTCTACTCAGGGGGATTCTCATCCACCGCAGAAAAAAAATGTAATCACAGATCGTATTTGGGCCACATTTTTTTATTTTTATATTTTTTTTTTACATTTCGCCGTTCTAATTAAAACATTTTAATGTAATTTTTTTAAACCTAAAATAAAATAATTAAATCTTCATTTAAATTTGTTAAAAATAAACATACACTTAAACCTCTTTAGTTCAACACTGGGCATCCTTTACTGGTATTTCTGTTTAATGTCATTCCACAGTTCTTCAGTTAGCATGACAAGTTTTTCAGGCATTTAGCCGTCAATCACATTTTTCAAAAATAGTTATTTTTTCCTAACGGATATGTCTAAAACTCATACTGCCCCTACCACTCTGTCTTCATCTTTAATTGATTAATTAAACAGATTGTCTCACCACAAACTCACGTCATTGGTTCAACCAGAATCTGACAATCTAAATATGTGCAAATTTCCCTTTGTAAATATTGATGTAACTTTCAGACTAAAGTCAACTAAGACTCTGAATGCAGCTCTTAATTAGAACCTCCTCCTTCTCCTACAGAAATCTAATGATCCATATACCATAAGTAAATAAACCATAAGTAGTGTTAAAAAAGTCAGAACTTAAGCTAACACATGCATTAATTGACCTTTCTTTCAATGTTCTACCTGCAATCTAGACTGTTTATTCAATCCATGACTAAAAATAAAAGGAGATAAATTAGCATAAATAAAATAAATCTTGAGAACTTCTTGAACTTACAGGTGTATATACTGGAGCTTTCCAAGATTCAGCCTCAGTTCTGAAATTTGCTAGCTATGTTCATGAAGGTGTTCATGTTGTTCACTGTGGGCTTCATTTTACTGTTCGTATGGTTCACCATCAGTTGTATTTGTTGGAGGTGTTGAATATTTGGCTTATTTTGTTTAATATTGTAAAAAAAATTATAATAATAAATAAAAAAAGTACATTAGTACAAGTGCTAGTTACCTTGTTAATGTTCTTCACTGTCATTGTTTGTTCAGGTTAACCAATTAGTTAAATAATGTTGGTTAAATGAACCTTAAAGTAAATTCATGTAAGTGGCGGTGTTCTGAGTTTGTCCAGCAGGTGGCAGCATCGCGTCACTGAAGCTGAGAGAGCTAATAATGTAAACTATTGTAATGTAGTGAGTGAGGGTTTCATTTTGGGGTTGGTCTCACACTCACTCAAACACACACACACACACACACACACACACACACAGGTTCTGAACCCACCTGAGCTGATTGGAGGAGAGCGGCGCATTCACGGTGGCCATTATACTCTGCCAGTTCCACTGCACTGAATCCGTCCACATCCTTCACCAGTGGACTGACGTGATGCTCCAGCAGGATCCGACAACACTGAAGGAATATTGACATACTGAAGTTAGTTACAGGGGTGTAGGACACATGTAGAATGACCCCCCACCCCACCTACCCACACACATTAATACAACAACCCTAGCATTAATACTTTTTCTTCTGTACTTTATTAAATTTCCCTTCTGTCACAAATACAGTTCCCTCTGAAAATATTAGAACCGCAAAGCCAATTCAGTTTTTTCACCATGCGTTGAAGACATTTGGGTTTGAGAACAAGAGATGAATATGAGACCCAAACCCAAAAAGAACAGTCAGTGACATCACCAACAACCACCATTTGGGCATTGGTGAAGGTACCGGAATTGTCTATTAGAAGAAGACTTTGAAAGCAGAAATATCGAGGCCATACCACAAGATGCAAACCACTCATCACCGATAAGAATCGGAAAGCCAGATTGGAATTCACAAAGAAACACAGAGATGATCCACAAAAGTTCAACCAAGATGAATTGATGGAAAGGCCACAGTGTGGAGAAAGAAAGGATCTGCTCATGATACAAAACATACTGTACAAGCTCATCTGTGAAACATGGTGGAGGTAGTGTCATGGCTTAGACTTGCATGGCTGCTTCTGGAACAGACTCATTAATCTTTATTGATGATGGAACTCATGATGGTAGCAGTAGAATGAATTCAGATTTTTACAAGTTTAATCAAGAGGATCTTCATTGTGCAGCAAGACAACGTTCCAAAACACACAGGCGACTCAACAAAGGACTTCATCGAGGAGAAAAGTGGTTTTAAACTGGTCAAGTCATTAACCAGACCTTAGCCCATTTGAGCATCATTTCACCTCCTGAAGAGGAGACTGAAGGGATAAACCACCTGAAACAAACAACAACTGAAAGAAGGTGAGGTAAAATCCTGGAAAAGCAACAAAAAAGAAGATACCAACAGTATGGTGATGTCAATGAGTTGCAGGCTTGATGCCGTTATTGCAAGCAAGAGATATGAAAAAGTATTATTATAGAGAGATATGAAAACAAATATATAGTTATTTCCATAAACCTACCTGTTTCAATACTTTTGCTCCCCTAAAATTTGGGTTATAAGTTTAACACATCTAGATGTAAATATGAGGAAATGAAAGCGGAAATTCTGATCTATCATCTCATCATCTCCTGATCTCAAACCCAAATTTCTTAAATGTATAGCAGAAAGGGAAAAAAAAGAATTTGACTTGTTGTTCCAATACTTTTGGAAGGGACGGGACAAGGGGCAGAGTTAGTGCTTAAAACTTTAATTAAAGCTTCATTCATATGAATAACAGCTAAAGAGTTCTACGCCTCTTGATGTATAACATTCCGTGTGGAAGCAGGATGAGGGTTTTAAGTGTTGATGATTAGATGGTTTGGTTTGTAGATCTACACCTCAAGTTCTCCGTTCTCAGCGGCATCGTGAAGTGGTGTCCCGCCCCAGTGGTCTCTCAGGATTTTGCCGTCCATGAGCAGCAGACGCTCCAGGATGCGATGATGTCCCTCACTGGCAGCAAAGTGCAGAGCTGTGGCTCCGTTCACATCCTGACACGACAAGTCCACGTCTGTGAACGACGCCTGAGGACCATAAACAACATCACCATCAGACACTGAGATTAAGGTTCGAGGCATGAGACTACGAGACACTCAGATCAAACACTCTTGAGTAGTAAATCTCGGTTGAATTCTGCATCCTGATTGGTCAGAAGGCATTCATTAATTTTCTATAACAGCAGCTCTGACAGTAGCGCAGCTGCAAATCACAAGTTTATATTAATGTCCTTGTTCTATATGAATACGTTATTGTTTCTATAGTAACAGCTCCTTCACAGGGACGTGTATATCGGACACTCCACATAGACAGATTTTTTTTTTTAAAGTGTGTGATTACAGATGTGGTGAAGTTTTTTGTGAGGTAATTTATTTAACATTTATGGAAGGAGTCTCCAGTGTCAGAGGTAAAGCTGTAACTTTAAGTTTTCTGACATCTTCAGGAGGAGTTTAGAGGACAGCTTTGTGGTTTCGCAGGGTTTCTGCTGGGTTTTTTTTCCATTGAGAGTGATTAGAGAAAGGACTGGTGAGGGACCGATTGTTTATAGCCACTATAACGTAAGTGAGAACAGGAACTTGTTTTACTGACATTCCACTATAGTAAATGTACAGTGGTGTGAAAAAGTGTTTGCCCCCTTCCTCATTTCCTGTTCCTTTGCATGTTTGTCACACTTAAGTGTTTCGGAACATCAAACCAATTTAAACAATAGTCAAGGACAACACAAGTAAACACAAAATGCAATTTGTAAATGAAGGTGTTTATTATTAAAGGTGAAAAAAAATCCAAACCATCATGGCCCTGTGTGAAAAAGTGATTGCCCCCTAAACCTAATAACTGGTTGGGCCACCCTTACAGCAACAACTGCAACGAAGCGTTTGCGATAACGTGCAATGAGGCTTTTACAGCGTCCTGGAGGAATTTTGGCCCACTCATCTTTGCAGAATTGTTCTAATTCAGTTACATTAGAGGGTTTTCGAGCCCCTAAAGGGAGTTCGATACCACAACATCTCAATAGGATTCAGGTCAGGACTTTGGCTAGGCCACTCCAAAGTCTTCATTTTGTTTTTCTTCAGCCATTCGGTGGTGGACTTGCTGGTGTGTTTAGGATCATTGTCCTGCTGCAGAACCCAAGTTCGTTTCAGCTTGAGTACATGAACAGATGGTCGGACATTCTCCTTCAGGATCTCTTGGTAGACAGCAGAATTCATAGTTCCTTTTATCATGGCAAGTCTTCCAGGTCCTGAAGCAGCAAAACAGCCCCAGACCATCACACTACCACCACCATATTTTACTGTTGGTATAATGTTCTTTTTATGAAATGCAGTGTTTCTTCTACGCCAGATATACTTGGACACACACCTTCCAAAGAGTTCCACTTTTGTCTCATCGGTCCACAGAATGTTGTCCCAAAAGTCTTGGGAATCATCAAGATGTGTTGTGGAGAAATTGAGACGACCTTTGATGTTCTTTTTGCTCAGCAGTGGTTTTCTCCTTGGAACTCTGCCATGCAGGCCATTTTTGCCCAGTCTTTTCCTGATGGTGGAGGCATGAACGCTGACCTTAACTGAGGCAAGTGAGGCCTGCAGTTCTTTGGATATTGTTGTGGGGTCTTTTGTGACCTCTTGGATGAGTCGTCGCTGCGCTCTTGGGGTAATTTTGGGCGGCCGGCCACTCCTGGGAAGGTTCACCACTGTTCCATGTCTTCGCCATTTGTGGATAATGGCTCTCA